AACATGTTATTTTCACTAGTGAAAATATCAATTTTACAAAATTGAGAAAAATAGGTATATTTCATAGATAATTATATGATAAAAGAATATATTTTGAGGCTAGCACAGTGTGTAAGAGACCGCTAAAATGGCTTATTTTGATCCTCTAAGTGAAATATGAACAATCTATGAATCTAAGAGATTGCTAATAAAATGTATTGCCCGATCTGCAATTTCGAGATTCGAACCCCTGACCTCTGCAATGCCTGTGTTGTGTTTTAACAACTGAACTATGAAGATATCTAAGTTAGCGAACGATCATTTCATTGGATGAAACCATTCATGACATAAGGAACAACTAATGAAATTATGGTCCGAACTGCGGTGAATGAACACAATGTATAAAGTGAATTATTTTTGTTGCAGTTGGGGCCATAATTTCAACATTTTTTTCCTATAAGTACGTCGTGTAAAATTTTAAATTTATTTTTGAATCATTGAAATACCATAACAAAGTAGGTGAAACAGCTACTTACGTTTCAGTAAATAGATGAATCTAGGCCCCAAGTGTGACTTTGTATAATGAAAGGAGCAAAGTATGGATTAGCCTGCGTAGTGACCCTAAAGGGATTGAGGAGGGCCGAGCGGAGAATGAAGAGGAGAAGAAGGAAGGGAACCATCCTCGGGAACCCAGGGGTAATCTTCTGTCGTTCATTCCTCACTCCCAGAAAAAATACCTCTGGGCACGAAGTCTGTTAGACCTTGTTCTCGATTCGAAATTCAAAATGGCGGCCGGTAAGTTAATCAACCAATCAGAATGTTCGAGTGAATCACTTGACCAATCAGAAATTTACCAGCCGCCATTTTGAATTTCGAATCGAGAACAAGGTCTAACAGACTTCGTGCCCAGGGGTATTTTTTCTGGGAGTGAGGAACAAACGACAGAAGATTACCCCTGGGTTCCCGAGGATGGAAGGGAACCCCACAGTTCTACAAAACTCCCCCTAATTAATAATTAAAAAGCCTGGCAAATCTAACTTGACAGTTGTAAAAATAAACCTATCACGAAGCGCTGTCAGTATGAGGTCGCGAGGTCAAGAGTTTCAATTTACTGTATTCGCCAATCGTATTCGAAGCCTTGGAAGCGTTGGTTTTCAAATGTGTCTTCCTTGGGCTAGAAAGGCAAATATATTTTGTAAATTCTACGAAGTTCTGGCAAAAGCAGTTCCACAATTTTCCTATACTTGTAAACGTTCTTCTCAGACGAAAAAAAAAACACCAACAGGAAAAGTCCAGGCCAAAGCTTGTCGCTGTTCTTCTTTGAGTATTTTATCGAAACCTTTTTCTTTAAAATCAATTATAACAAGCTCTAACTGATTACGGAATCATTTTTCATCGCCCGCCTTATTGGTAAATACGCCAACTTGATCTGGTATCTAGTACCACTTTGACATTTGATTGACAGCTTGTTCCTCTCGACCAATGGGGAAATTTCTTCCGTATGAGACTTATTAAATTTTGTAAAAATGTGGGGCTCTCTTTCAGGCCCTTTCTTTTTCTCCTCCCCATTCTCCGCTCGCTGCCCTTCCCAACGGCCTTTAGAGCCGCTACGCAGGCTAAGTATGGATGGGTTCGGACCATAATTACACACCTCGTTCAGTTGCACTGCAATTAGTGATTCGATATTCACAAGATTTCATTTCATTCTGTCCTTTGTCTGATTCTAGATACTATAGGTTTAAAGATCAACTTGCATCCGAAATCCTTTGCGATGCGTATCAGCCTTTRATTTCAATGATAGCCGGGCGCGTTTAATTAAGATACAAGGGGTGGTRGCCCGGGATTAAGGATATTTTGGAGTTAGTTCACTAACGGTCCAATACAGTTTTTAAAGTGCAAATCATTTTTTCAAATTCTAGGATAATCTTTCCTATTGATRTACTAATAAAATTAAGGCTCTAAACCATTTACAATAACAAGAGATAAATAAACGTTTTCGACTACGAAGTCATCATCAGTATGAAGTGTACTGCTGTACAAGGGTAATTTCCTATCCTGTTGAAATAGAGTACAAACTGTAAATGTGTGCAACACTTTCCACTATTTACTACAAAATAGTGTTAATTAAACAATACTGAAAACAATAGAATTAGCATAATTTAGCAGTATTTAGTGGTATTTATGTTGCACAGTTTTAGTGTTTGTACTCTAGTAACTTGCCGCAAAAGTATTTCGAATTAGTTGAATTCCCTATGTTTAACGCTATTTTGAATTTCCCGACACTTTTTTTTTCATGGAAAGTTGTGCACTTTTTGAAATCAGAGGCCTGGTGCGATTGTGACGTCTTCTCGTCTACTAAGGAATCGTCTCTCGCATTTTCGGAGACTTTCCGGAGCATCATACTTGCCTCAACTCAGGCCACAATAATAGTTCGTGATCATTTCGGTCGGAACTATCAAAAATGTATATTAACTTTAACGATTCAAAAAACAACGAGCATTGAGATTTTTGTATGATTTTTCCATTTGATGTGATTTATCGAGTCACGAGTACTTTGTAAATTCATGTAAATTTCTTTTTTTTTTACAAACTGAAATTTTACTGACGATTTTAATGAAGTCACCAAGAAATATTTTGTTTCCATGGTGATTTTCTGAACTTTGGAAAAAATTGAGTTCATTTGCACTTTAATATATGCAGCAGTGTAAAATTGATTTTAATGCAATAAATAATTGATTCTTACAGAAAAACCCCAACGTCCCAAACGAATGTATTAATGCACCTGCGCAAGACGACACTCGACCAAACATTAAATGGCCAGCGTGGAGTGAAAACAGAGCTCGACGCTCAAGATACGATGGAGAACAACAACTCATTGGCAATGATATTGGTTATTGAATGTCTCATTCCATTATTGTGAAGCTTTAGTCATATTGGTATCATTTATTAGTGTTTTTGACATTGTAGTTTAGTGTTGTGATCGACTAACATGTATGTATAATKAAATACAAACAATAACTAAAGCTATTCCAATAAAAATATTTACAATCAAAATGATGTTATAGGCTGGATAATCTCCTATAAAACTTGCTTTCGTACTATTCTTGACTCTTTTCACGAAGCTGAGCGCGATAGAATAATTCATCTGATCAGAGCGAGTCTGGACAACTTTAGCATGTGTGCAGCTAAGCCAAAAATGTTGTCATGTGTGTCTGCGAATCAGCGACGACGATCGTGTTCCGTGTACCGATATGTATGTACTTCACGCTGATTGGATGTTTAGTTTTGAATTCTAATATTAAGTACAGCGCTGATTGGCTACAGCAAAATTGARCAGGTCAACGCAAGGYTTGYCTTGCYGCTTCGATTTTTTCGGCTTTTCTCGTTCTGCRCACTGTGTTGATTTAATTAAAAATCGAYATTACATACTCTGTTGTCGAAATGTCGCCAAACATTTCAGTCGAAGGTAAAGGAAGTTTTAAAGTTAGATCGAAAAGCTCAATAGACTCCATTTCGACCGCAAGCAAGCTTTCCTCGACCGCCATATCTTTTTAAAGCCAGACAGGCGCCAATGTACTCAATGGACAAGAAACGCATGGGGGCGATTCCACGTTGTGGACATTACATTCAGAAGCTAATTCTGAATCTTTAACTTCCTCTAAATTCTTTGCAGTTCTCCCGCAAGTTCTTTTCTAATCGGGGAAAGTGCTATTTCAACTAATGCTCCATCGTATATTTGAAGTCAAGTTGAAACGCATACATCCAGTCAAGACTGAGGCATAGAGCTAGATTTATTAGTTTTCTGGTTCCTTCTGAAGTATTAGCGCGAAAGGAAAAGAGAAGATATGAAAAGGGAAGATATGAAAACCATCGAGTCCATTTTTTCAAAACTAAACAACTCCAAACATTTTTCACTTATGTTTAATTATTGACCTAAAGATAAATATTTTAGATAGAAGAAATATCTTAAAAGTTCTGACATTTTATTTCTTTCAAAGAAAGTTATTTAAGTTAAATATATAGGCCGCCTCTAATTTGGCTATCTTTTAAAATCAAATACTCCTCTAATAGAGGAGACTATCCCGATGCACCGATGCACGCTATCGTAGTTCCACTATTACGTGGTACMTAATTATGTATCTGTATATATGTAGAGATGCATGTCCGTTGCGCCTTTCACTGAAATTACTTGGTATTATTGGGCTCCGTAATCCCAACTGAKTAATGATTGYCTCATAGCTTGRTGCCTCTTTTTTCATCGATCGCGGAAAGGAAATTTGCCCTTAATTGCATTGTAAACCTTTCCAGCTGTTTTCCTATTAATCGATTCYGTGAATTTCACTTTTTCGGGTTTTGAATAAATGGGATTTTTCATCTAGTAAAGTTTGTTGAAAAATTCGATTTRAAATTTAGAAAAAATTTTAGGGATATTWGGAACCATATCAAATTGGCAAGAAGGGTTTTGTAGGTCAAGGCAACAGTTCAAATAGCCATCTTCTTTTCGGTACAATTGCTGAAAGTGATTATCGACTAAATTAAACTTACCCCATAATATCAATCAACTCGACTTTTCAACATACAGAGTCTGTTTCCACTGTATAGTATAAACCTTATGAATAAAATTACCATTTGAACAGCTGGAGAAACTTGGAAAAAAGAATTATAAGGCTGATAGGACAGAAACAACATRATGCCCTTTTAAAGTTGAGCAATCATGCATTTCGACGGGATTAAATTCTTTTATACGTACGGCCAAATAGAAAGCTGCAAGGGAGCATGACTGTGCAACCATGACTGTGCAACGGTACGGCACGGTCACGGAAACTCACCTGCTCCCAGTGATTACACTGTCACTTTTATGTTCAACGAGTTGATATAACTCCAAAAAAAGGAGTTAAAAAAGGTACCGGGTAGCTCCTTTTCTGGAGTAAATTTAACTCAACCTGGATTTAACTGCACCTGGAGGAGTAATTTTTACTCCAGCAGGTAGAGTAACTTTAACTTCTTAAAAATAATTGTGTTTAAGTATCCTTCTTTTTCATCGCCTTTCTCCTATCCTCCTCCTCTTCCTCCTCTTCTTCCTCTTCGTCCTTTTTCTCCTCTTCGTCCTCTGCCTCCTCCTCCTCCTTCTCCTCCTCGTCCTCGTCCTTCTTCCTCTTCGTCCTTTTTCTCCTCTTCGTCCTCTGCCTCCTCCTCCTCCTTCTCCTCCTCGTCCTCGTCCTTCTTCCTCTTCGTCCTTTTTCTCCTCTTCGTCCTCTGCCTCCTCCTCCTCCTTCTCCTCCTCGTCCTCGTCCTTCTTCCTCTTCGTCCTTTTTCTCCTCTTCGTCCTCTGCCTCCTCCTCCTCCTTCTCCTCCTCGTCCTCGTCCTTCTTCCTCTTCGTCCTTTTTCTCCTCTTCGTCCTCTGCCTCCTCCTCCTCCTTCT